ATATTAAGGTAGGTATATCTATTGAGATTTGCTTCATTACGTCACGTATTATGTTGATTCGAGGTGAGACACTAAAAATACTTGAAAAATACTGAATATTCATTATCTGTCAAGATGTTCATGATCTTCAGGAGCTTTAAAAGATTCGAATATCGTATCGTCACATACTGTATGTATGTATTTCTGTTTCATGGATACCCGCGTATTTCTACTACACACGTTCACGTATATATTGAAATAATAAACTATCATATAATATATTTGTTTCAAATATTAAATGATATTTTATATAAGATTTCGAGGATTTCCTAAACAAAATGATACGTACTGAATATCATACTAGAAGATTTATCAAGAACACACACGCCACGTCTATTTCAGTTCAAAACCGCGATTTCTAATTTGATTCAAGCGATTCAAAGTACTTCGTAGATCGTTGCTAGGTAGTAGCGAGCACGAGATAGCATTGGAATTGAATAATTGCCGCGATAAAATACGCATCCGATCAGCGGTCAACGAGTGCATGATAATAATGGCGCTTCCGTGCTTTCGACTTTGAAAAACCGGCAATATGGCCAATGAAGCAGGTCGTAAAAACGATTGCATTCAGAAAACGTCGACGATACGAAACGCTGTTCGATATATGCGCATTATTTCGCTAAAGTCCCTTGGATTCACCGGCCATCGAACAACCACAACGTCTGCGGGATGTAGTTTTGATATATGTATTCATGGATAAAAATGAAGTAACGAGGTATTACCGAGGTATTCATTTTCGACTTTGTTCGAAAATTCTGTCCGTATCGAAGAGTAAACGCGTGAAAAAGGGGACGTCGCAGCAGAGCTTTGTTGAAAAACTCAAGTTTTTCATGTTATTTTAATTCGGTGAATTTAGTCGTTCGTGAAATGAAACTTCAATTAAAAAGAACGATTGAAATTTTACTTTCATGGAGAAAAATTTTAGCTGATAGAAGAAAACAACATTCGTATTAATTAGATGTACTTGAAAAAAATTAAGTGATTTATTAAGCTAACTATGATACAATGTTTGTTAAATTCATTTCTTATTCTTTCGATCAATACACTAAATCATTAACGTTACTTTATAATCATTTCGATTCGATGGTTCTATAGTGTAAAATAAATGGTTATTTGCTTGAACCATATAAAACAAAATCAACAATTTCAATTCGAGTCACGAACACGAAAGGTTCCAATGATTTTAGGTCGATCGAAAACCACTTTGGCCAGTGGTAGCGCGAGCGAATGAACGCGCCAAACGAAAGATGATCGAATCAAGGAAATTCAAGTAAATAAATAAATCTAGTGAAACGGAGAAGGAGAAGCAGAGAGGCACCGCTTTCGGTAATTCCCGTTAATCCCGGACGAGACCCGACTCGGTGCAGCAACAACGATGCGGTAATAAAATAGTCGCGAAAACGAAACATATCGCGAATTACTCGACAACGTATGAATAACGCGTGCGGAACGGGCAAACGCGAGAATTACCACGCCGGTCTTTCTTTTTACCGCGGCGGTCGGTAAATCATCGTGCCGCGAATACGGAAATGCCGGAACGAGAAAGCGAATCGGGGGGAGGAAAGCGCGCGGCAGAAAACAAACGAGGAAACAAACGGGAAAACAAACGAGACGACGAAAAGTGAAACGGCAGTGGGGAGGGAAATAAAAGGGGAAGGCAGCGAGAGAGGAAAATAGAAGGCGGGTTCGAACGACGAGAGCCACCGTGTCGCTGACTCGCGCACTATATTACCACGGAATTTATTCGAGCGCGGCGGGTTCGCGTTCCCGTGACCGCGGAAAATGTTAATTGCCGAAAGTTAAACGCGCGAGACACGAATAAAAGCCGGCCAGCTGAGCGAGGAGGAAAGGACAGTGACGCGAAAGAAAAGTGCCTCGGAGAGGTGTGCCTCGAACAGCGTGCGAGTAGCGCCACGGCTACATTAGGGCCAATTCATTTGCATGCACTTTTACGTCACGTTCCGCCTTCAAAAAATATTTATCGCCGGCGGTTTCGCCGTGACGCCTCGCTTATGAATTATGCATAGGGACGCGCGGTGATCTAGTAGCTCATTCCCGGCCGCAATTTCGCCATTGAAGTGTAATTTCACCGGCCTCGGTATTAGAATCGAAACGAGCTTTTTGCGACCAAGGGCGCACCGACTGGAGAACCACGAGGAAACGACCATGACCATCGCCGCTTAGAGAAGTATCTGCGCAACGGAAAGTACAAAGGAGCTCTGCTCGACACAAAGTCCCGCAGACAAAGGACTCTCGGCCAGAGATTGTTTCGCAGTTCGCGGGATGAATTTAACGCGCGAAAATGGCCAGAATTGAATTACCACCGAAGGGGTGATATTCTTCGAGTGTTCAGACGACTGAGTGAAAAGGCCGCGTTTCGCGGATCTTTTCGCTTTGATGTCCTTTCGAGGACAGCCTCGAGAACAATTTCGCGCGAGAAAAATTTCGCGAGAAACGGCAGATTTGAAAGGAGAGAGCGAATCCGCAACGAAAGCGGCGCATAAATCTAGCTTACACGCTTCTCTCGACGCGTCTGAATTATTTCTACGAGAGCACACGGCACGCGCTGCACGTGTCATTAAGGTCCGTTCAAATATTCAAGCTTAGCTCGATGCGGTTTTTTTTCCCCTCTCTCCTTCTGCTCCGTTCTACGGCGCTCAACGTTTGATTGCATATTTACGAGCGGCGGTATTCGGTCGCGCGAAGAACAGCCACCGTTAATACGTGACTGTGTACTTTTATAGCGTCATTCATCATGAGCCTCTGGCCGCTGAAAATCATACGTGATACAGATACGTAAAGCTTCGAATAAATGATTTACACTGCAGTCGCACGTGAATTCACTCGATGAGTTTATTCTCGCGTGGATGGATCCTAACAGGCAGAAAGATTCTCTGGTTGGAGTTTCCTTTTTTTCTTTCTTTTCTTTTTTTTTCCTTTCTTGTTTCTGTGCGTGCGAGTGTGCTTCTCGTAAAAATTCGAAACTATGCGGTGTAAACGATTTTTGATAGTGATTTTTCAGAGCCGATTTTTCCGATAGCTATTTTGTTATTTACAACGTGTATCTACGTCGCTGGACCGCGAGTTTTATTTTCTCACGTCTTTATATGAGACAAAGGATTAGCTCTATTTCGAAACAGCGAAATGACTGAATTGTTAATGAATTATCAAGTGATCGTTGTTACAAGTGAAATTATTCACTTTTTAAAGGCGAAGGGAAAAATAGAGAAGGTCCCACACGTTTTTCACTTTTCTACAAAAGAGCAATCTTAAAATTCAATCGTTCAATCCACAGACTCGAACAAATGAATTTTTGAAATTTTATTCTCGCAATTCCGGTATTAAAGTATAGAATTAAAATATAGATGGTACAGATCTATTTGAAAAGAATTTCAAATGACATACTCCAACGTGATCCTGTACAATATATATAAATATAATACATTATTTGACACACTATATAATAATTGTACAATAATATAATAACTTGACTGACCAGAAATGCTTCTTCAACCACCAAATGGTACAAAAATCCGCAAATCAACGAAGATAGATCTATCACATCGCGATACTCGTAATTCAACAAATCTCCACGGAAAGAACAAATCTTTCACTCGATTTTACGATTCCAACATCCTAAACGAACTTCAAAGGAATTATTCCGAAATAAATTTAAGAATTTAAAAAAAAAAAACGATTAAAAATCGGTGTTATTTCGCGGCCAGTACACGTTCGCCCGAAAATCACGATTTAACTAATATCCGCCGATGGAAATTTTGCGGAGCGCACGCGTTCGCCGAATTCCAGTTTGATTTTCGCGGGAAAGAGAAAGGGAGGGAGAAAAAAAAAAGAAAGAGTTGATTAGCGGGGATGGGAGCTACTTTGTTTTTATCAGCATCGATCCGGCCGCGATATCGCGAGATATTTATTTCCCACCGATGAAACGCCCACGCCCACTGGCGCGTTTTATTTGGACACGCTATAATTTCCGGCAACACTTTACGCCCCTGTCGGCTTCCTGATTTAACGTAGCCAAAATGAAATCCGCGATTACGCGTTGATCGAATCGTGCGCGTTTAAATCGTCGTTCAAATAGACGGATCGCAGCGTGGATAGGATGAGGAGAGATGGAATATACGGCGGGCCATTTGTATCTACGTCGATCGTGATGAAGTTTACGATATAGGTAAACTGCGATCGGACAGCAGCGGTCTGCGAGAGCAATGATGATCCAGCCAACGGTTGCCACGTCGCCTATATAGTTGAAATAAACAACCTAGTCCGCGGCGTATGAAAGCGATTGCATTGCGATCTTGAAACAAAGGTACGACACTGTTCGCTCATTTGAGAACCTTGTCAATAGGAACGCGTCTCTCTGGCGGATTCAATGGCACCGCGCCGGAAAATTGATTTCGTCGAGAGAGAATTTGACCAATGCTATATATCGCGCTTTGGAAAATTGCGAGCCGCGAATTGCGGACGCGTGAATTATAACGGGGACGTGAATAAGGAGTGTTTGCACGTCGTTGTATCTATACTTTTATATTATACTATTGTATCGTTCAATTGTACTTTCACAAAGTCTGATATTATACTGATACAAGACAAAATGTAACACTTAATAAAACGCGGTTTACTGGAAAATGGAGGTGTACAAATACTTTCATAGTCGCTGTAGGAAAAAGAAAAGATAACAAGTTGTATAACACGTTGTATAACACAGCTTTGAAAAGACAGGTTACGATTTCGATGGATCACCTGTCAAAGAAGATCGAACACGAGCCTATGTTACGAGAGTAGGGTTGCAAATTGTCCAAAGACACTTCGAGTCAGCCAAATTTGGAAAGAGAAAGGAAAAGAGACGAAGGACGAAAATTCACTCACCATTGTTGGCAGCAAACGTTGGCCGAGTGTCCAGCAGCAGGAGGCACACGACGACGAAGATAGCGGCCATCCTGGGCACGATGTTGGAAACGGTTTCCTTGCTCCCTCTAACAAGCACCAATACTTTCCGCTGCAACTTGGCGAACCCGGTGACACAAGCACGATCCGCGTACGATCCGCATCCGCAACGAACAGACACACCAACAGAGTCCCTCGCCTCCTCCGACAGTTCGTACGAACTTTCAAGGTCGTCCTGACACTCGCGAAACGGTCCACACCGGCGTTCGTCCGCGCGCGCACGCCCGCTCCGATCTGAAAGCGATTTATCGGTGAGAACCGGTGAGATCAGCATCCGCCGGAAACATTCTCCAAATGATTCATCCGGACGACCTTCCATCGAAACGGATCAGAGGCCGACTGCTCACGACGTTCCACACCACGATGGAACACCACACTTTCGCTCGACGACTCGCTTCTCGACACGGCTTAAGTCAAGATTTTGTAAAAGATCACGTCTCTGCAGCGCATCCTAACATCAGTCACTGTTCACGCGGTGGCGAGAAAGATCGCGACTCGAGCGCGCTATCGATCAACTTCCCTCCGATCGAACCCTCCCCCGCTTCACCGCCAGCAAGTGGCGATTTTGCAATGGAGACCGAGCTGCTTTCTTTCGGCAAACAAACGAATCACGGTTGAAATCGGACGTTGGAAGAAACGGGCGAGCACGGTCGATCGACCGAGGAGGATCCTCGATCAACCAGCGGGTGTAAGAACGATTGGAAGGCACGTTCGCGCGATCGTCGAGCGACGACGACAGTTCCCACGACTGCACGCACGGGACGCCCGGCGTCGACTGGCGTCCTCGGGCACAGAGGGGACAGCCGCGGTTCCGCCAGACGTGCACACGCCGACGTCCTGGCGTCACGGCGCATATCTCCTCCACCCCCGTACGAGATCTCTCACCCTTTGGCGAGGCAAGCCAATCGCCGCTTGGAAGTCGCCGCCCATCGTATCGCGGGGGCGGCACCGCCCCCGAATTAAGATTTTCGACTTTTCTTAGTCCCGACCCGTACTGACTAAAGTATCGCCCGCACCTCCACGGTTATCTTTCTCTCTCTCTCTCTCTCTCTCTCT